GGGCAGAGCGACAGGTGGGCTGAAAGACGAGCCACTAAACATGATCCTGTGTGCAGGGCAGAGCTGCTCTGTTTCAGCCCCTCCCGGTGTGAGCATGACTGCGCAGCTTTATATAGCACTGCGGGCCCTATATAAGAGGGAGGTGGCCTCATCACAGGAGAGCACGGGGCGGCGGTGGCGCAGGAAGAGCCTGTATGCGTTGTCTGATCCGGGCCGGACACGTCCCTCTCCCGAGCAGTAGGGTCCCCGCAAGGTGGACCCACCACAGCCCCCAGGATGCCCAGCAGGACCAGCCGCTACGCCCGATACAGCCCACGACATCGGCGCCGGCGGATGCTGGCCGATCGCAGCGTGCGTTTCCCTAACGACGTCCTGTTCTTAGACCACATCCGCCAGGGTGACCTGGAGCAGGTAGGGCGCTTTATCCGGGCTCGGAAAGTCACCCTGGACACCATCCACCCCTCAGGTGAGCGCCTGTGGGGCCAGCCGAGGGTCTGTGGGGTGTTGGGGGAAGACCTCAGCTTTGACCCCTCCTGCCCTGCCCTGCCCAGGCCTGGCCGCCCTGCACGAAGCCGTGCTCTCTGGAAACCTGGAGTGCGTGAAGCTGCTGGTCAAGTACGGAGCTGACATTCACCAGCGAGACGAGACTGGGTGGACGCCCCTGCACATCGCCTGCAGCGACGGGTACCCTGACATAGCCAGGTGAGAGGGCCAGGCCCGGGGCTTCATCCCAAATGCCGACCTCAGGTGGCCTCCAGGATGTGGTCCCCTGAAAGGCGGCCCTGGCAGTAGAGCTAAGAGCCCTAAGAGCTTCTAGGATCTCCTTTCTACCCTGTTGCCTTCCCTAGAGCAAACCAGAAAAGTCAGCCACTGTTTCTGGAGGATAAAGTTTCTTCCTCTTCACCCTTCCTGGAAACATTTTTTTAAAAAGGCGCACGCCAGGACTCCAGCCTGCTACCCCGGGGTTGGGGTGAACATCCTGCAGGCCGCCTTCCCCCCACCACAACCTTTGCACCCCAGGTACCTCATCTCCCTGGGGGCAGACAGAGACGCAGCCAACGACGATGGAGACCTGCCTTCAGACCTCATCGACCCAGACTTCAAGGACCTGGTGGAGCTCTTCCAAGGGACTCGGATGGACTGAGCCCAGCCCTGACCTCCCAGGGCTCTGGCCCTCCGGAGAGAAGTTGGGTGCCCACCTCCCCCACGTACGAGGACTTGCCCCACCGGTAGGGGCGGCAGCTGGCCAGGAGCCCGTACCTGGGCACAACCCCCACCCCCCACGCTTCTGGCCTGGCTTTTTCTCCAGGTGAATTTTTTTTTATCGTGACACTTTTTACTTTTTCAATAAACGTCATTCCCCAGCCCCTGGTGGTAGCCTGATTACTGGGCACGGGGCCGTCCCGGTT